ATATCTAATAACTTAATTAAATAAGACAGAATTAAAAATTTTATTTTGAAAAAATAATTTATTAATATTTATTTGATATATCAATCTTTTTATACCGGACCATATAATAGTTATAGAAAATAAAAATTATTATTAGTTTTTATAAATTTATATTATATATTTGATTAATTACTATATTTATATATATAGATTATTATGTATATTATATATATATACTATATATATAGTATACATAATATAAATAATAATAAACTATACATGCATTTGCTTATCTTTATATATAATATAATAATAATCTATAAACTAAAATTAAATATTTATTATAAATTTATTATACTTAAAATGTAAATATATAATTAAATAATCTTTTTTCTTTTAATATTATTATATTAATTCTTTTATAATTTAAAAATAATAATTTTTAAATTAGATAAGTTAAGTTAAATAAGAATTTTTTAATTATTATATTATTTTAAAAATTATTTATTAATATTAATAAAATTATATTATAATAACTTAAAAAGATTTATTATTTATAAGCTATTTTAAATAATATTATTAAATATATAAATAATTTTATATTTATTCAATATAAAAATATAGATATATTAATATACTTATAATAAAAAAAATTTTTAATTAACTTAATATAAATATTTAAATAATATAATTTATTATATAGTTTTAAAAAATATTTTATATAATTTTTTATTAAAATATCTAATTTCTATAAAAATTTTATAAATTATTAATTTTTTCAACTTCAAAATTATTATTATTTTTTTTAACTAATAATATATTATTATTTGTTTTTTATATTCTAAAATTTTATTAAGTAATCTCTTTCAAAAATTAATAATAACTTAATTATAATCTTTTTATTAAAGATTTATAATAATTTATTTTAATAACTAAAGATTTAAATAAAAATTAGATCTTATAACTTTTTCTTTTATAATTAATCAAACTTCTTTAATTAGTTGAAACTTATAATAATAAAAAGTATAAAATAATTTATAATTATATTTTCTAGCTATTTAAATATATATAAAAAATATAAATTAATATAAAAAGATTATATCTCAGATAAATATTAATAAATTATTTTTTCAAAATAAAATTTTAATTCTATCTTATTTAATTAAGTTATTAGATATTAAAATTTATTTAAATATAAAAATTTTTATTATATATCTTTTATGAAAAAAAATTTACTGATAATAACTTTTTTAATTATTATTTTTTAAATTTTACTATATAAAATTTGATAAAAATTAATATAAAAATTATATAGTAAATAATTTAATTATTTAATTTTAAATTCTAATATTTTTATAACTACTGATTTAATTTTTATGAAATTTAAAATATATATTTATCAAATATAAATAATCTGCTTGTATAAAATAAAGATTTAATATTATAAATTGATAATATTATATTTAAAATATTATTTATTTAAAAAAAATAATTTTATTTTAGTTTTTTAATAAAGTAATGCTTTATTTATTACTGAATTAAAGTATAATAGAATAATTAAAATAATATAAAAAGTTAATTTAAATTATTTTTATTTAATATAAATTATAAAGATTAGTTAAAATTTGAATAATTTTTATTAAAAGTAATTATTGATTTTTATATTGAATTATAAATTTTTTTGTACTAATTCATATATTTTATTTATTTTTCTTTATTAATTTATATAATTCTGCTTTACTAAAGTTTTTTGAAATATTAATACTAGCTAATATTATTAAATAAACTTTTAAGTTTGATATTGATACTTATCTAATTTAATATTTATAATAATAAATATTATTTATATAAATATTTACTAGTTTATAATATTTCTTGATAATAGTATAAAGTTTATTAAAAAAATTTTCAAAGATTTCAATTATAAATTATTATAATAGTCAATTTGATTTATTATAATATTAGAATTTCAAATAATTTTAAAATTTCATTCTAGATATTAGTATTTGCTCATTTTCTTTCTTTTAATAAAGTTAATTTGATTAATAAATTCAATATTAAAAGAGAATTAGAAATAATTTACTAAGAATTTTATTGATATTATTATTATATATAATTATTACTTTAAAAATCAAGCTTAAGAATTATATTTTAATATTCAAGTATAACTTGTAATATAATGCAAATAATAATATAATTCATCTAAAAAAATTTCTAATCTAACTAAAACTTTATTTTTTCTTATAAATTTCCAAATTAATATTACAAATAAGATATATTTATTAATATTTTTCATAGTTATAATAATATTCTAATATATAAAATATATAAAATAATTATTATTTTAAAATTTTTAATTATTTTTTATTATATATATAAAAATAAAATACTAAGATATAATAAAATTCTAAACAAGTTTAAGAATATTATAATTAAATTCTTTTTTTGACTAATCTAGATTTTTCAAGTCAAAAATTCTTTAGTTTTTTTATTTTATTCAATAATTATATATATAACTATGATCTTTCTGATATTAAGAACTATAATAACTTACTTATATAATAATATATTTTAATATTACTTCTTATATTATTAAATTTCTAAAAAATATTGATAAGTATTAAAAATTATTCTTCTTTTATTATTAGTTAATGAAATTCAATCTTTAATAAAGTTATTTATCTAAAAAAAATAGTCAAATTTATAAGCAACTTAAAATTTGTCATAATCTTTACCTATTATGATATTTGTATATTTGTATAACTTGATTATTAAGTTTTGTATTAGTAAAGAAAATTAAGTAAAGATTTTTATATATCTATATTTTTATATTGAATCATATTATATATTTTTTTTAATATTAAAGAAATTCATATTTTTCTTATTAATATATTATATCTTTAATGAGTTTATAATTAATTAAATGTAACTTATTTTTTAGTTATAAATTTTATATTATTTTTATTAAAAATAGAATATTAATCTTTATTAATATTTTATTTAACAAATATAATTCAGAGATTAACATAATAAATAAATAGATTTTATTCAATAAGAACTTTATTTTCTGAGAAATTTCTAAAATTTTAAAGAATATTTTATTACTTCTAATATCTTATTAATATTATGCTAATTTTTATTTTAGAAGTTAATAATCTCTAATTATTATATCATATAATTCTATACAAGAATAGAATAAACAAATTTATTGGAATAATTAAGTTCAAAAAAAAGAATTAGTATATTATTATAAAAATCAGCTATTTTATTTCTTCTGCTACATTAATGAATCATCTGATTTGTTTTCTAATAATCTGATTCTGATCATGATCTATATCAATCAGATCTTCTTTGAAAAGATATTCTTTGGAAACTCTAACTCTTGTAATTTATCAGTCAGATGATTGAATAAGTACATAACTGGATGAAGCACAGAGTAAAAGCAATTAACAGATCTGGATTTGAATAATATATTTTTTATTTTTCATATGAAGTGTATGTGTTTTTAAGTAACAAATTTACCTTGATCATTTGCCCATAACGATAATGCCAACTTCACAAGCATAAATCTAAAAAGAAGTGGCGTGTTGAAATCCAATGAAAATCTATCGAGACGTGTCCTTCTTACGCGAGACGAATTGAAAGAATAATGGATGTAAGCTTATGCTTCTTCATTTGGGTATGAGTTTTGTTGGTTGTGAGTATTTTTCGTCAGTATAAATCTTTATTTTTATTTTTTGATGGAGCTGAGTTGCTATAATCTTCTTTGATGCCTTGCGGATTGTCGGACTATTTGATTTTAATATCGCATCATCATTATGAAATTTAAGAATCACGAATTCTATTATACATGCAATCCAAAATAATGTACGTAATCTAACCATTCAAAATCACAATTTTTTCCGGGAAACTCAAAATTCTTAGGATCGAACAATTTTTGAGCCAGCATTTCTGTTGTAATACAAGGCTCCTAAATAAAGCATATACAATAATTTACTATAGAATAACATAAAAATGATACATGCTAGCTATAATACAGTTAAATCGAGTCACGTATTCTTGTTTGTAAGTTTGAAAACAACAATATACATGCACATGTACATGGATAAATATTATGGTGAACTTAATAGAATTCTAATATGATCTGAAAAAGATAGAAAAAATAGAATCAGTCATGAGTCAAGAGATCATTAATTTTGTTGTTTTATCGAATATAAATTAAATACTAACTTTTCTTATAATTCATTTTTTTTAGAAGTACTTGAACTTCTAACACTTCTAAATTCGCTGCTGACTTCATCTGTATTTGAGAATTCGTTAAAATAATCCGAGTATATCACATCTTGTATTGCTGGACGGCCAACTGGATCCCAATTTAACATCCGTAAAATAATATTCGTGGCTTGCGTGTCGGAAATATCACCACCACGAACCCAATCAGAACATGTTGAATCAATTAAGTCGCTGAAATCGTCATAAATGTATTTTTTCGTATGGATGAAATAAAAAATGCAACCTAAGCTAAATATATCTTGTGCGGAGCTCACTTTTATAGTATCATTCTGCACAATCTCTGGAGCGCTATATCCACATGAACGAAAGTTGGATTGAAGATAGTCTCCAAATTTTTTTGCTGATTCAAAATCACAAAGGCGTATCTTATACACGTTATTCGGCTTACAGATAATATTTGACGGTGTCAAATCAAGGTGCTGAAAAATAATCGACATTTTAATTATATATATAATGCAAGGCAAAAAAATATATACAGTACTTACAGCAATTTTTTCATTATGGAGAAATTCAATTGCTTTAGATATGCTTAATAAGATTCTTTTTCTTGCAATTGAATCTCTAAATATAAACACATTCGTTTCCAGATTTTCGCCAGCATCAGTGGTAACAGACACGAAGCCGCCTAAAGAGCGATTGATTTCCATTTCCATATCCTCCCATTTGACGACATACTTCGAGCTTAAACTACAAAGATACTTCCTTTCATTTTCCCATGAAGAACGACGTTCAAATACTTTTATTATTACTTGTTCTAAATTAAAAATGTTATGCCCTTTGTATATTCGATTTTTATGCCGACTAGATTTCCTATCCGATGGAGAATTATTTTCAACCGGATACATTACTATATATCTTAAGCAGACTAATGTCAAGTTTCCGTTCAGAGATGGATTTGTTGACGTTAGACTTATCTGCGATTCATTATCGCTAAGGTCATTTGTTGTTTTTTGCTTGTTTTCTAATGTTGAGGTCTCAACTTCCGTAGCTGGTTTTGCTTCTTCTTTTGACTCAATTTGAGAAGGCTTGTTATCACCATTCTGCTCTACTATAGATAATAAGGTAAAAGCATTAGCAGTGTATTCAGAATGTTTAATCATAAAGTTTAAATATAATTTCTATTATACCTTCGGTAGATTGCCGTGCATTCATTTGTTCAAAATTACTTTTGTCAAAATCCTCGTTATTCTGATTTTGGTCATTTTTGTCATTTACTATATTATTTATTCGTGTTTGCTTGTTTTCTAATGTTGAAGTCACAACTTCCGTAACTTCTGTTAGTTTAGTCTTGTTATCCTTGTTATCACGATTCTGCTCTACTACCGATAATAAGGTAAAAAAGTAAGCATTAATAATATACCCAGAATCTTAATCATAAAATTAATTTCTATTATACCTTTCGTAATCATCTGTTCAAAATCATTTTGGACGGAACTATTATTTTGGTCATTAACGTCAATGCTCTCGTTATGATCCTTTTCGGCATCTGCTATGTTATGGTCTATTTGTGTTTGCTTAACTTCCGTAATTTGATTTGATGTCTCATCACCATTTTGCTCTACCATTGATAATAAGATACAATTATTAACAGCATGTTCATCATGAAGATTCTATTACATGTATACCTTTAGTAAATTGCGGTGTATTCATTTGTTGTCCAAAATCACTTTGCACGGAATCCTTATTATTCTGATTTTGGTCATTTTTGGCATTTACTATATTAGTATTTATTTGTGTTTGCTGCAATGTTGAAGTCCTAGCTTTCCCATTTTGAGAAGTCTTGTTTTTACCATTCTGCTCTATTTGAAATTATAAGATCTCAGCAACATTAATAGCATTGTTCGGGTATGTTTAATTAATTAATATATAATTTTTATGATACCTTTTGTATTTTGCTCTGTATTTATTGGTGGTTTTCTTGTTTCTGAGATTGAAGTCTGCGTTACTTCTTTGAAAAATTATGCTTAACAGAATTGAAAATATCATACCTTGAATATTTTCCTGTATCTGTTTAAATGTAGTTAAGCCATGAAAAGATAATTCGAAATTTATATAACCAGCCTCATCAAAGCCATCTTCTACAAATGGGACGTTGCCAGCTACGTTCAGTTAAATCAACAGTTAGCATCAGCTATGGAGAAAATACCAATCGAAAGAAAAAAAAACAAACATTTAATTGTTCCCGATTGCATCAATGATCTCCAAGTATTGGCGTCTTTGGACTTGATTTCAAATTTTGCTTTTGTAAAGCCAGTGAGTTGTGAACTGTGTTTACATTGAACGCACAGTCTTATCTCTTTAGAAACCAGATTAAATGATACAGCACAGCATATTTACAAGACTCTGATGACATTTTCCAGTATTTCTTGGTTAAATGCGCTTCAGCCTCGTTATTATTGAGAATGAATTCTAAAGGCCCCTTTTTACTCATGTCTTTACTGAGAGCAAGAGAATAAATGCTTAAAAATACACAGCCAGCTGAATATGACCCCCATTAATAACTGCTTCATTCATACCAGGTGATCTCTTTCAATAATAATACGCCGCCTATTTTATCATTTGACGAGGATACGTTCCGTAAGTTTAGGTCGGCATCTTTTGGTGGACTCTATGAAATTTGATTTAACATTAATCATCAACTTTATATTTGCAAAAATCTTATTAAAAGTTTCTTACCCCCGAGAGAAAATAAATATCAAAGAATAAATCGCCAACAGATTCTTCATTCTTCTCCAAGGTTAACCTCGCTATTATTAGAATAACGGTAAATAAGGCACGAATTCCATTGTTTGTATGTGTATTAATAGGAAATTTACCTTTTTCTTTATGACCTTTGAAAGTACTTAATTTTACTTTAGCTTCCCCAAATAATCCGTCATCCCCTTTTTTACTCATGTTGTAGCATCTTACATATAACGATAAAATATCTTTTATCGGAGGCGATAATTCAAAGGTCAAGTGCTCAGACCAAACAGTCGGATCTTTTTTCTTACTGAAATATAGAATATCACATAATAATCAACGTTTTTATTCGTTTAATTGCTATTCAATGTAAGATCTTTACAATTTAGTTTCCGTAGTCATGCATCTTTGATTATTTTCATCATCTATACTGAATTCCAATTTAGTCTTGGGAAGGGATAACGAAAAAGGATTCCTGTTAATGTCCTTTAATACGCTGTATGTTTAAAAATTGACCGAAAAAAATTAACGTTAACAGTTAATGCCATGCCGAAGCTTAATTTAGCAGCGAGCGTAATTTATTCGAAAACCTAAATTGTATGAATTTAATGAGCAAAATTGCTGGTCCTCTTGATGTTACGTGTATGTCGTTAGATGAAGATTCTCCGTTTTGACTAGTAAGTACATGTGAAGACATATTTTCAAAGCTTCAAGTTTTTTTCACAAGCACATGTTTTCATTATTAATATAAGATACATACATGTACTACGTATTACGTTAGGCAGATTTATTTACTGCGCCGACTGTAAATGGAAAAGCAACAATGAGGATATTGATGTGCAGAATAAAAGATCATCGTGTTATCCGTTACAGGCAGCTGTCGATAAGCGTGAGACGGAGCCAACGCCGTAGATAATAGCTTCTTGCAAATACGTTGTTAATGTATAGATATCATTCATTACCACGTTGCACTAATTTTCAACAGTCTTGCCGCGCTACGCCATCGCTTTTGCTTTGTCGCATAAATTTCTCGACATTAATTATTCTTTAAAAGGTTTGATTTGATTTACATTTTATGGTACAGTACATGTAATTCCAAAAAATTGAGCAACTAGTGACGTTTCAAACAAGAAGTTAATGAAAAATCCATCCAAGCTCAAATCATCATGACATCACAGACATATCACCTAGTGTATCACTTAAAGTTGCAAACTACGTATTTAGTGAAAACATTTGCTTGCCGTATTTGCAAATACTTGCAGTCAGCATATATATCTGAATAACTCGGTTAATACACACACAACCTAACTTAGCTAAATAATAAATATTTCAGTATTCCGTATACGATTATCATCATGTGGTTGGATTAAATGGAACAATAAATTCTACATGTATCCTTGCTAAAATTCACGCTTGTTATCAAGACGGTATTGGTGAACTTTTTATCATAGACATGTACAATCGCCACAAAGTAACGTCCCAAATGTTACACATGCAAAATCGGGTGCTACCTTTTGTAGTGATTGCATAGGCAGTCGATATTAGCACATGTATTACACTCCTATTACACTCTTTGTTTGTCATGCACTGAATTTTGAATCCCCGGTTCTTGTGAATGAGGGTCCCAGAAATTTTTTAGCATTAGGGTTGCATTAACGTTAACCTTATCATTCCGTTAGACTACACATTTCTAATAAATGTAAGACAAATACCTGTTATGCACCAACAATGAGACTATTGCATTAATGTTTGACAATAGAAACCTGTTCATCACCCAATAATGGTTAAATAATAAAGCTTCATATATCGATATATATATATATATATTTATATATATTTACAAACCAAACAACAAATTTAAATTAAATTTTTTCGTGTCTTTCACCTCTTTAAAAACGTCAACTAAAATGTTAACAACAGAATCTTTTTGCGCCGATATAGTGGAAGAGATCGTAAAGAAACTCGAATACGATCATTCTACTCTGCATTCTTGTATTCTAGCCAATCGCACTTGGTGTCAAGTGACAATTCCTGTGCTATGGAGAGATCCATTCAGTTTTGTCAGAAAGAAACCGGATAATGAATCAGAGAATAAGAGATTAGAGTCTTTATTTCTCACTTGCTTGCGATATCTGCACGGAGAAAAAGCGCTAATAACTACGCTACCAGATTTCGAGGAGCAAAACAAACATGAAAATTTTCCCATTGTAAATTATAAAACCACATTCAACTACCTTGCTTACATTACACATTTCGACGATTCTGTAATCTTTCGAAGTATATTTCGTATTCTGCGACGAATAAAACCTACCACATTAATCGAAGCAAAGAACACATTTATCTCCTTCATCTCAATGTTATTGAGCCATTCCAGAAATATCCATTCTCTTAATATCTCCTCGTCGACTTATTTTGTCAACTCTTTAAACCCTATGGAAGAAATATTCTCTCCATTCACCTCATTTTTTTCATCAATCTCCACTCAACACACAAAGATTAAGTGGCTACAAATACACATCGACTCCCACAACATGTATACCGAAATCTTACTAGATAATGTCTTGTCCGTGATTGAAGCACAGAAAGAGTTGACGGAATTTTCATTCACGGTCAAAGAGTTTGACTGGAGAGAATTTTTACTTGACATTGAATTCATGAGACTTTTGCTGATATGTTTGGGAGAAAAGACCGATAATGCATCAAAGTTAAAATTGGAAAGAGTAGAATTTGTAGGATGTGATTTTGATGGTTGTATCTGGGATGATGGCGAAGTGTTATTTGAGAATGTGAGTGAGGTAGTTTTTGATACTTGCATTAATCTGGATGATGAAATTTTGTCAGGCTTGGAATTTAGGATGGAAAAAACGATAATTGGAAAACGCGTTAGCTATGAGACTAACTAAATACATGTAATGCGTAACTAGTTCATTCAAATATTCCTACATGTATTAGTATTATTTCATATACGATCCTGGCCAAAAAAATTGCCAAATTTCTTTCTCAATTCGTAGACTTGAAATTACCGAGTTTTAAGATAACTCGTTACTTGTTTTTTTCAATAAATATTTATTATTTTTCAGACCAAAACATCATAGTCTAACAGGAAATTAACATCGAGATACACTTACAAAGAAAAAGCAAACAAGACGGATTATAATTTGCCGGTTAAGATCAATTTGATATAGTAAAGTCTTGATTATATAGTAAAGATACATAGTAAAAGTCATGATATAGTTAAAGCTTTATTTAAAAATGTACCTGATAAATTTTACCTTGATACATGTATAACAAGATTAAATCACATAATATATTTTAATCACATGTTCAAAGCATTAATAATAATTTGTATTGAATTGTCTGATTCATACAAATTATAAAAGAGAAATTGAAAATTTTAATATAAGAATAATATTTTTTTATTAATATAATGAAGTTTGTAAAATGGATTCAGTTATTCTAAAATATAGTAATTCTTACTTTGAATAAGTTGATATATAGTAATGATCAAAAGTAATGCATTAGAAACTAAATTTATTAATAAAATATAGTAAAAATTGAAATTTTCTCTTTATAATAAAATTTATAATTTTATTAAAAAATAATTTTTATTTTTATATTAAAATAAAAGTTTATAAGTAGTAGTTTAGCATATATTTATTTAGACTTTTTCTAAAAGGGTTGTTCTAATTGCAAAATCAGCACAAAAATTTTTATTAATTAAATTTCATTTTTAATTAGTAAAAATTTTTGTATAAACTTTACAATTAGAATAATTCTTTAAAAAAAATCTAAAAAATCTGAAAAAAATGTTAAACTATAATTGATAAACTTTATTTTGATATAAAAATAAAAAGTATTTCTTAATAATAAAATTATAAATTTTATTATTGAAAGAAAATTTCAAATTTTATTAATAGATTTAGTCACTAATATATTATTTTTGGATATTACTATAATTTAAATTCAAAATATTTTTAATAAGTTATTTTATATATTATTCTCAAGTAAGTTTATTTATTAGATTATAAAGAATTTTCAGTAAATTTTGATAAAATTTTAATAAATTTTTATTCTGTAATAAAGAAAATATAATTAAAATTATTTTTATAGATTATATTATAAATCTTTTTTATATATAAAATATATAGTAACAGTCAAAAATAATATATTAGATGCAACAAAATAAGAAAGATCTTTAATTTTTTTAATTTAAGATTTATATTTTCAATTTACATTTCACATATACTTAATTTAATATACTTAATAGATTACTAAAATTAAAGTATAATATTTAAGACAAAAATATGAATATAAGAGATAAATATAATAAAGAAATAGATATATAATTAAATAAAAATAAGAATAATTATATTATAAATTATAAAATTAAAGAAAAATGAAATTTTATATAACCAAAAAAAGATTATGAAATTAGAGAATTTTATATTATTATAGTAATAATATATAATATAAAGTTAAATTATAATATAAATAATACAAAATAAAGATCTAAACTAAAAAAATATAACTTAATCAAAATTTTTATATGTTAAATTATATAAATCTAATAAAAATAAAAGTTTATTTGAAAGAATCTATTAATAATATATATTATTTATTAGTTTATTAATTTTATAAAGATAATTAATATTATTAATATTAAAATTATTTTATATTATTATATTACTATTATTAAATTTAATTATAAGTTAAATATATCACAAATTTTTTAGGCAGATATTTATTAAGAATCATTACTATATCTGTAAAAATCAATAAATATCTTTCTGAAATATCAATATTAATTGATAATTCTAATAATCTTTAATAAATATCCATATCAATAATCATTAATCATTATTAATATATTATTTATCAATATATAATAATATATCAATTATTATCATAATATATTATTTATTGATAACAAATAATATATGTTAATAGTTAACTTAAATACTTATTTTAAAATCAGTTTATCATATTAATATTAGTTTAGATTATATAACCTAAATAAATATGTATACTCTTATATATTCAATTATTTTCAAGACTTGAAACTTCTAAAATGCTTTTTATTTAATATTAAAAAATATATTTATTTAATAAA